TACATATATATATATATATATATATATAATATATATATATATATATATATATATATATATATATACATATATTTATACATATATGTATATATATATATATATATATATAATATATATATATATATAATATATATATTATATATATATATATATATATACAGTGACGCTCAAAAGTCAGTTGACATTTAAAAAAAGTGAATATTTAGGCAATATTTTATGAATAAAAAGATATTTATGGGTAGAAAGTATTTAGTTTAATAGAAAACAAAAAGAATGTTTGAAATAAAAATAGAACAGCAGTCGATTAACGTTAGAACAATAAAAAATTAAGTAAAGCGCAAAAAGGTGTTGCTCAAATGTTTGTTGACAGCGACAAGAACACAAGTTTAAACAAAATAGTTTTGTTATTTTGGTGCAAACGCAATCCTTTTAATGTTTTGTTGGTCCGCCTTAAGCCTCGATAACTGCTTGCAAGCGTTTTGGTATTGAAAGTACTAATTAGAGCAGCCGTGGCGCAGTGGTTAGAGTACTGGCTCAGAACCCAGAGGTCCGAGGTTCGACGTCAGCTCCAGCCCAAAAAGCGACATTGGTACGGAAGGAGGCGTGAACTTCCTATTAAATGCTTTCCCGCGGTTCTCTACGATAAGACCGTAAGGACTTCTGGAAGCACCTAAATACATACAAAAAAAAAAAAAAATTTTCTAAATGAAATTAATGTCAATTTCTTCCCAATGACGTTTGATTGTTGTAAACATGTCATTTTTTGACTTTCTTTCGTTTTGCGGAATAGTTCTATCCAAGTATTCCCATATATTTTCGGTTATATTTAAATCTGGCGATTAAGTAGGCCAATCAAATTTGAAAATTTCATGATTAGCAAACCAATCTTTGACGATCTTTGCCGTATGTTTTGGATCACTATCCTCCTGCCAGATAAAATCGTCCTCGATCCTTAATTTTGCAGCAGAAGCAAAGACGTTTCGCTGTACAATGTCGAGATAAAATATTTAACTTAATTAACCCATTATTCTGCTTATTTCATTAAGCAGAAGGTGATTATATATTAAAAAACACTTGACTTTTGGATTTATCCAAATTTATAAATCGTGATATATTAACTTATCTATTTATATTTTTTGCAATTTTTGCAAGACTTTTAAAAAGTAACTGTACCTCGAAGGGAATTTTGCAATATTTTGCTTTTCTTTTTAGTTTTTGATCGCGATACAGCAGTTTTTCACAAAATATACGCCTGTCAACTATATATAATATATACATATATATATATATATATATATATATATATATATATATATATATATATATATATATATATATATATATATATATATATATATATATATATATATAAATATATATATACATATATATATATATATATATATATATATATATATATATATATATATATATATATATATATATATATATATATATATATATATATATATATATATATATATATATATATATATATATATATATATATATATATATATATATATATATATATATATATATATATATATATATGTATAGGTATATAGATATAAATATATATAGTTAAAACTTAAGTTAAAAGATTAGTAATAAATAAATGTAGAAGATTTGTGACAACTTCTTGGAGTTCTTTTGAACATTATGTACTAAAAACAGTCTCTATAGATTTCCTTTGTTTTCTAAAATGTTTTAGAATACCATGAACTAAACTTTAGCAACTATTATGGTTATGAAAATTTCTTAAAGTGGAAGTGGATGCTTGTGTAAAATTATTAGACTTCTTCAATGACGTATTAAAAAAAACGTCTCGCAATGAGGCAATATGTAAAGAAAAAAGGCAAAAGTATGGTATCAATTGGTATGAGCTTTGCGAATGGTATTTTAATAGAAAATAATATTTTACTTAGGATGGGCAACTTCAAATAAAGAAATGTCGGGTCAAACAGGAGCTAGTGTTATAGATCCAATGGAGAGCTATCTGAGAAAATATTGTATAGTAATAATTACAACAATTCCTTTGAATTATCAATGGACGTAATAAATTAAATAACATAGGTATGTAGTACGGTAAGAAGTGATTGTAATTCAAATCTAAAGGAATGCTCGAAAACTAAACTAAAAACGGAAGACTTCATGAGCAGAAGCAATCAATAAGAAGGGACGATGTAGTTGTTGCTAAATAGAAAAATAAACCAGTCCTAGTAATAATTAACAACATGCATTTGTTAAAGATGGTTGAAGTGAAAAGCAAATGAGATAAGAAGAAAATAAAACCTAACTATTGAAAACTACAATAAAGGTTTGTGAGGAACAGATTGGGTTTATCAAACGGGATCAATACTTTAAATAATGTCTTACCAAACAGTCATACTATGACTGCCTAAGAAAGACAACTAGATGATATTAAAAACTAACTTTTTATCTTTGATATTTACTAATACTTACTGTCTAAGCTGCAAATATAGAATAAATAAAATAATTCCTTTGCTTAAATTCAGAGAGATGGTAATAACGGATTAATTGGTAAATCTTTAAATAATGTTACCCCTAAATAACAACTTGATATCAAAAACAACAACCACCATTACTTGTCTTCAATACCACCAATTAAAAAAAAACTGTTCACAAAAGGTCAAGTTTTCTCCAAAAAAATAATTAAAATATTAATGCGCTTTTTGTTAGAGTAATCTTTTTTATGTCGCCAAATTAATGACACTCGTTTTTTTTTCAAGAGCTCTCATAGTTAAAAAAAGGCAACTTTTACAATTATATTACAATTATACTTGTAAATTTTAATAAACTTTTACAATTATACTTGTAAATGAAATATAAATGCCTACCGCTTACTGCAAGCATACTTAACTACAAGTATACTTGTATTAAGTATGCTTGTGGTAGTCAACATGCAATAACTATTAAACTAACTAATGTAAAGTTTGTTTTTTCTGCGGCTTTTTGCACCTAAAATTTGTACGTGTTTCTTCTGCGGCTTTTTGCACCTAAAAGAACAAGTCGTTTGAACAATGAACTTTTGGTTGCGCTCTGCTTTCTAAAACAAGAATAATTAGATTGTATATTAAACCAATAAATAACGTAAAAAAAAAAAGAAGCAGTAATTTCCAGACGTAAGTTGAATTGAACTGGATTCTGTTAACATGCAGAGATAATATAAAATAAAAGAAAAAAGACAAATTTACAATTTTTATGTACTTGTTTTTATTACTTTGAGTTAATGAACATTTGTTTACCATAAAAATATATAAAAATTTACTACTATAAAAATTTGCCAACTAATAAAAGCTATTCTCTTGAAATATTCATTTACTTATAGGGTAGCGATGTTAGGAAAATATATTAGTAATATGAATGTTTTGTATTTTTGCATTTTTTTGAGGCTTTGAATTTACATATTTTGAAATTCTTTATAAAAAAAAATTTTTTTTTTTTAAAATCCAATTCTAAGAAAAGATTACGATTTTTTTTTCAAGATGACTTATATAGTAGCTGTTAAAAGTTACATCAAGATAAATAATGATGGTGATTTTCTTTGACGTATTTTTTTTATCGTTACATTATATTATAATATTTTATATAACAATAACAACAACAATAGTAAAAATAATAATAATAATAATAATAATAACAATAATAATAATAGTTATAATGATGGTATATACTTTAAATCAAAACAAAATAGTTCTTCAAAAATGCAGACCTGAGCAGATGATTTTTTTGTTTACACTTTCTACAAAATATTTGCACAATTCATTTAGCGCAGCCCAAAACTAAGCAAATCAAAGACTATTCAATATCGTATTTTTGAAAGCAAAAACATATCAAATATTCAGGTTTGTCTTGTTTGCACAGCACCAATTGATTAAGCAAGCAAACAGTAATAAATTATTAACCAAACTCTTCCAATATCTTCCTGTCTCATATAGTTACACACAATGTTTTTGCTATTTAAAAACAAAATTAAACAGTTTTTTAAATGATCAAACAATAATAATGTCATAAAAGTTTATAAAAAGGTAATTTAAAGATGTTTCACCCGACTACAAATGTGTTTTGGTTCCAAATATATGTTGTATACAGCAACAAAACAGGCGCCTGCACTTTTGTTTCGTGATGGGACAATAGCTTAGTCTTTAAAAAAAACGTTAAGTTTTTGAGCAATATTTTTTATTTATAAAAGTGTTGATAAATTTAAAGTTCTTATAAAAAAGATTATAAAAATGGTATTAAAAAATATTAAAACAATCCTTGAAAAGACTTTTTGCCGTCCTGTTATCATTGCTACTATAACTTCCTGTTATCATTGCTACTATCACATGATTATTATTCTTTGCTTATACTATTGCTTTCCACTCATTCCACCCAATTTTAACCATATTATCTCTCTCAAATCTGACTATCTTTATCCTTATTGTTCTTTATAGCTAATTATCTAAGTCATAAGCCATCTCCGTCACAAGGCATAGTAATAAACCCCTTTTTCTATACAAAAGAACAATGAAAATTTAAAAGAAAGCATAAAAAAATAATATAAATAGTGCATTTTTAGTTATTTTGTAAATGTTAGTATTTTTTATTCATTGTTATTTTATATTTTTTATATATTTAATATTTTAAATAAAAATTAATTTTAAGGTTTTTCATTATATTTCTGGTATGATTTTTTTTTTTTTTGCCAAGTGTAATTAAAATAATTAGTCAATTAAAATAAAAACTTAAGAATTAATTTTTTTATAAAACAATATTACAGTAAAGTTTATCGAGTTGATTTTGCCTTGTTTTAATAACAGACGCAACTTTAAGCTTTTGAAAGAACATAAAACCAAGCTTCTCTTCCACATAGAAATAATTCGAAGGCTTTTGTCTATTTTAAAAGACTTACAACTTTATGCTAAATAAAATAAATTATTCATTACCCGGAAAAAAACGCGACTGTTATTTCTCATATGCCTTATTTCATGCATAAACGACATTATCTGATTGGCTGAAAGCCGTTTCATTACGACTACAAAAAACAACCTAAGAGACCTTTTCAACACATAAATGATAAAAAAAGAGCAATCGTTTGCCGAATATTTCAAACATTGCTAATTTATTGTCGGTTGCAATCTGTTGTAATAAGCGATTGGATTTAGCATGTCTGAATTGTTTTGTTCATCTAATCATATTGATTTTTCCGGCAACTACATACCGAGTTATTTTGAAGAAACTATTTCACCTTCATCTCTTCTTTCCGATTTTTTAAAAGAATTAGGTATTTATTTTTTTAATATATATATATATATATATATATATATATATATATATATATATATATATATATATATATATATATATATATATATATATATATATATATATATATATATATATATATATGTATAAGCATATATTTTTTGTATAAAGCATAGTTTGGTAAGAGCTATGGCATTTATGCATATCGAAATATAGTTAAGAACTTGAGTTTTAAGCAAAGCCTCAAGCTTGGTTTTCAGTATATGAAGGAATATCGTAGAGTAGAGCAGGAAAAGCTGAACATTTTTTACTAAATTTAACAGATCTCATAAATAGTGCGTGAGGTTTACATATTTTTTTCACAATCCGAAAGATAGTTTAATCTGCTAAAAACTGGTTAGGAAGAAAGTGTATTTTTTTAATTTGTTTAAGAAAAACTTGTTTTGTCTAAAGTTTATCATGCTGTTCAACCTGCCCCAACGAAGTAAATAAACAACTGTGTAGGGCAAGTTAAGCAATCAAAAATAAATATACATGATATGGAACTTGGATAAATTATCAATAAAATTATCGTTAAAGTAAGCGTCTCTATGATTTATAAACTTTTTTATTTTACACACTTTAATGACGCAAGTAAAAGAAGATGAGCTATTAAATATAAATTGAGAAAGTGTCATAAAATATGAAAATATTGTTTTACAGAATTATCTTGAGCTCCGACTTAAAAATTACTAATTATATGAATTACAATTAACTTATATGCTAAGTTCTGCAATAATGTTCCACAAAAATGTACTGCATTACGTACCCTAAAATTCTTTCTTCACAAAGTTGTTTCTTTGTGTTCAATAGTTCATTTATCTTTACTTTTTTTCAAAACTGCTCAACTTACTCATTTTAGCAAGTTGACAAACTTGCTAGGCTTTAAAGAGAACATTAACAATTAGGAAAAAACGTCTAATTATAATCAAAATCTGATATATTGTTAAAATATCAAAATATAAATGGTGGCAGGTAAAAAAGTTTATAAGCGTCTAAGAAAAAAACAGCAATATTTTTTTTTACTTTTTTTTTTTCAAAAATGGAATAGTGTCCGTGTCTCTTACAAGACTGCTGTCCAACAACCTTTTGTTGCCCATTGTTACCATTCTAATTGCCAATCGTTAGATGTTTTGTCATGCTATGCTTAGTTTTCGAGATATTTTAATTGTACAACTTGCCCCTATGTTTAACTAGCCCACTCTCAACACTAAAATAGTTGCACAACAAATTTGTTTTATAAAAAAACATTTTCTAGCTTGCACTACTTAACAACTGTTGCGCAACAATATTTATGGTGTTTAACAACAGTTGCGGAAATAGAAACACATTTCGGCAACAATTGTTGAACAGCAAAGTTGCTCAACGATTGCACAACGTTTTATTTAATTGTTGGAAACCATGCTTTAGTAACAGAAATATGAAATGAAAAAATGGGATATAATATTAAACTATATAAAATTTAACTTTAAATATATAAAAAAAACTGCATAACTGAACAATAAGTTACAATAATCTTTTACTTTTTATTTTTATATCCCAGATTCAACAAATCAACTTAGCAATAGAGAACACAGTCACACAAATTTTTCGACACTTGGTAAAAGTACTTTTAACGCAAGTAAAAAAGCTACTAAGAAAACAAAAAATAAAACAATTGACGTTGCGAACAGTTGTAACGCGACAAATAGTTGCATTATAGTTAACAACAACGCAACTAACAGCAGTATCAACTTTAAAAACAATTGCAGTGTCGTTAACGCAACTAAAAGCATTAACTGCAGCAAAACCGTCAATAGCATCTTATCTAGTGTCTCATCCAATGGACATTCGTCGAATGTTAATTTAATTTTTGGATCCACATCAAACACTAATGAAAAAAAACTTTTAAGTGAAGAAGGTAGCAAAGATAACGAAAAGAAAATGAAAAATAAAGATGATAATAGCGTTTTCAATAAAAATTCATTTGGAGATAGTAATGAAGAAGAAAATGAAGAAAATGACCATTCAAAGCAAAAACGTCACCGAACAAGGTTTACACAAACGCAATTAAACGAGTTAGAAAGATATTTTAACAAAACTCACTACCCTGATATATTTGTTCGAGAAGAGCTGGCAATGAGGATTGATTTAACAGAATCACGAGTACAGGCAAGTAATTTTGTTGTTTAAAAATGAGTTATTGTAAATATTATACAAACAAAATAAATTTAAAAAAATTTATAAAAAGAATAACAAAAATTTAAAAAAATAAAAAAAATAAACAATACAATAATAATAATACCAATGTTTTATTTTGTATTGCAATTTATTTATATATATAAAGGTTTTATTTTACACTAAGTTTCTACATTAACTGAAGTTAATACATAAAAAAAAGTATATAAAAATAACTTTTTATTTTACCATTATCAAGACTTTTGGTTATAGTTTTTTATTATTTTATTTTAAAGGTCTGGTTTCAGAATCGCCGAGCAAAATGGAAAAAACGTAGAAAGTCTGTTAACATGTTTGATAATACTTCAAATGTCTTTTCTTCTTACTTAAGCCACTCTTTAACTGAAAGCAACCAATTAGAGCAACCATATTACGAGAATGATCGAACTTGGCCATCGCAAAGCCCTCATTTTCAGATTGATTCGCCAGATGATCGACAGCACGTTTTTCATCAGCAAGATGTAAATGGATTTACATATAATCAGCTTTCTTCAAATTACGGAACTGAAAGAAACATATCTTATATGCTTCCTCAGTATTATATAGGGGATAATATGACTAGTATGGAGTTTAATACCCCAGAGCAATCAAATATTATTCTTGAACCAAACTTTACTAATTGTATAGGCATTGATCGGTTTGATCGATCTGTTGATCGACTGTGTCGAAAAGAAGACGACCAAAAGTTGCTTTACTTAGAAAGACAAAATTTATTTTAAAAAACTTCAAGATACATATATTGATCTAATGGATAGGGTTTTGCGGTGAGGAATAAAATAATAAAGAATAAAAATAAAAAAAATAATAAATGGAATTTTGAAAATGCATCAAGCAATAAATGCTCACTATATATGAAACACGTAGTATAAGAAAATTTTGTTTTAATTGTCTCTCGGGAAAAATATTTTTTTTAAAAAAAAAAAAAAAAACTATTGCGTAAAAACATTTTTAAACAAAATTTTAAGAATATTATCCTAACCAATAAATTTGTTTTGATAAGACATTTATAACATAAAACGTAAAATAATTTTAAGCATGCTCATATTCAACAAGGTTTGTTTAAAACCGTGTCCTATTTCAATATTTAATGCTAAAATTTTGTTAAAAAAAGTGTAGCCTTTAATTTATACAAAAAAAAAAAAAAAAAAAATAGAAAAACAGAGCTACACCTACTCTCATGCTTGTAGTATTTAACAATTATGTTAAATTCTTGATCAGCTAAGATCAAGGACATAAAGACTTGTTTTCAATAAAAGCAAAAAATTGTATTAAAACTGTTTGTAAATTATATTTAGGGGAAAGCGGGGCAACATGGCGAACGTTTTGAAAGCCCTGAGTTATTGAAAAACTATAAGTCGTGAAGCCATAATACTTTCTCAGTATGTTTATGCTATTAAATTCTTATATTGCCTGCATGAATTTTCAGTTTGCAAATATAACAATTTGAAATAAATATTAAAATAAAAAGTTCATAAATTTGTCATCTGGTCACGTGACCGGGGCAAGATGACTTATTATGCAATTTTTACCTCCAATTTTATAAAATTTTAAAAACTGCCAATAACTCTAACTAAAGTAACAAAAAATAAACACAAATTGCAAAAACTACTTTTAAAGAAGTTAAACTTAAAGGTCACCAACCATTATGAGAAACCGAAAGTGTGGAATTTTTTTTAAAGCGCAAAAAGTAAACTTATTTGTATAAAATGGCGTTAATAATATTTCAAAAAACAAATTGGTATTTTAAAATACAAGATGCAAATACAGTTTCGTTTTCACCCAATTTTAAAATTTTTTGTTGAGTTGTTATATGAAAACCCATCTTGCCCCGTTCGCCATGTTGCCCCGTTTTCCCCTACATTTACGTCGTTTTCTTTTTTAACTGTTTTTTGACCTTGTGAATTAAAATAAGAATTTTTTTAATTAGAATTGTTAAATGCCAAAATTGTTGCTTTTCACTTTTTTTTCTTATTTGAGAGCAACTTTTACTAGTTTTTTGAAATCCATCGTAAAACTTGTATTACTTGTTGACATTGAAAACCTTCACAGTTGTCTAAAAAGAAGTCTTAACCACTTCGGAAATGACCCGAAAAATCCCTTGGAAGGAATCCCTAGGAGGGGTGATTCTAAAGGTAATAGGGATCACTGTAAAAAAAAAATTAAAATCTTTCAATTACGTCTGCAGGAGAAAATTGCATTTAAAGTATCCGCCTAAATACACCAAAAACCTTTATTTACAAAAAGTGTTTGCAAAGCTAAAAAATCAAAAAACACTTTTCTTTGCCTTAACTTTCAAAAATATCACAAACTAATATCCCTTAGGTTCAAAATCATATTTTAATAAAGAGTATTTGTATATACATTCCAATACAAGTATATCAATATCAGTGCAAGATCAAGGATGGGGAAGGGGGCTAGGGTTATAGTCCTGGGCCCCGCAAATTTAGGGGCCCCCAAAAATATTAGAGGACCTTTTTTTTTTTTTAAGTCATTTTTAGGCTCTAGCCTATAAAAAAAGGCCTCCAAACACAAAAATAGCCCCGGGCCCCAAGAAGTCCTAATCCGCCACTGATCAATATACAATATGTATAACAATTTTTTTTTGATTTTAAGTGGGATAAAAAATCAAAAGAAATTGAAATTAAAATTTTATTTTTAAGCATGGCATTATTTAAAACAACTTTTTTCAAAAGTTGTGCATATATTTCTAAATATATATACACTGAATTGCAAAGCAACTTAAACCAATACAAGTTTGAGATTGTAGATATTCTTTTGATATCGAGACTGTTGATCTTCTGTTAAAAATAAGTAGTTAAAATAAGTAAATAAGTAAAAATAAGTAGTTACACACACAAAAAAATAAACTCTGATTGAGATTTTTCTCCTGAGAAATTTTTGATAATACTCAATTTTTTTTAATCGACAACAATTTAATTTCAAATGTGTTTGCTGTTAAGATCAATAACACGACTCAGAAGTTTGTCTCCATATTCTGAATGAGAAGGTTGACTTTTAAACCTTTGCAAGTGGATCTTGAATTTGTCATGCATCGATTTAGTGGTCAAACCAAGCCCAGTTTAATTTTTTTCAGCAAATTCTTTAGTATGATGAAAAATTGCATGTTCTATGGGAATAACTGAAACTCCAAGAGCTAGGTAAGAATGCTTAAATTCTGAAATATTTTGGCAGAATCCTGCCCCCAAACTTTTTCCAAAACAAGCTTTTATAACAGATTAAAGCCTTCCCAGAGTTTGTAAGGTTGTCAGACTCAACATCACATCAGCAGCATGGATGTTTTCTTGAGTGACACTGGATACCACATAAAATGTAGGCTGCTTTGATGTCACATGAAATTATGTAAAACACACCTTCAATTTCTATAAGGCTTAATATTGTTCTAAGATTCTCATATGTTTGAGGAATATTTTCTGCTTTAGAAACAAATAGATATTTTTTTACACCACCATCTGGGCAGAAGAACGTGATTGGAGACATGATGATCATTGAGTTTAACTTGCTTAGAATATATGTCAACTACGCTGAAGTTAATTTTTTAAAAATGAATCACCTTTATCAATTCCAAGTTTAACTAAATGATGTGATGTAAGTCTTCTTACTGAAGGAATATGGTTGATTAAGGCATTCAAGTTCTTGCAGTGAACAACTTTACGAACTTGCTTTTTCATTTCTTTGTCCAGAATGACAACATTTGAAACCATGAAAAAAATTTGCTGATATTTTCCAGAGGTTGTTAAGTTTTCGCTTCACCTCTACAGCTCTTTTTTCCATTGAGTTGTTTAGAGCTGGTGCAAGCTTTTTCACATCAACATTGGAAAGATTCGTACGTTTTGAAATTTGGACTAATGTTTTAGAAGTAAATAGCTGCAGCTATTTAGCAAGTACTTCACTGAATGCCCTAGCAGAACTTTTAAAGATTTACCTCCACTTGCTTGACTAAGTTTGACAGTACCTCCTGGATAGGCATCTTTTTTAGAGAATAAATTAGCTGGTATTTGGTCAGCACACTTACAGTTCTTTACTGCAAGTTTCTGTACATTTTTCTGCCTTGTACCTATAGTACAAAAGTGAGGAAGTTCTTTCGCAAGTATTGACAAACAAATACTGAATCTTTTTTCAGCTGGCTGTGATGATGAAGGTTTGGGATTAAAAGCTTTGATACAGTCAGTTTCAGAGAAGACTTTTGTTTTTTGATTAAATATATCAAGCTCAATCTGTGGCAGATTTTCTTTGATCTTTAATTTAGCCACCCTACAAATTTTACAGTAGCAAGCACCAGAATATCTTGTAGATGTCTTAATGATAATCGAATCAAAATTGTACAAGTCTGGTATCTTTCCACAAATACTAATAGTATCAAGTCGTTGTAGTTTGCTTCTACATGAATTGCAAATGCTAGTTGGAATTTTGAAATTATAATTATAAAATATTGACTCTTTCAATCAAAAAATCAGTTAATATGCAATCACTTTCAAACACAAAAAGCAAACAGGTTTTCTGTATTCTTCAAACACAAAAAGCAAACAGATTTTCTGCAATCACCATGAGTTTTTGCTGATTTAGACATTTTTTGACAAAGACAAACTAATTTTTAACAGGAATGCCAATATATTTGTTTACATTATTTCAGCGGCAAAAACTAGGTCCTAGCATTTTTCAATTTTTCAATTTGTCTTTAAATTTGAATTTTTATTACAGAAGGAAAAAAAAGTTAAACAATAGGTTAATACAATGTTGTTTAAAGATATTTTAAACATTTAATCAAAGCAAAAGGTTTTTTTAGTAACTTTTAACAGTGAAAACCCATTTTAAAAAAGTTTCTTGAAAGATTTTAATTTTTGTTTTAAAGTGATCACCATAACCTATAGTATATCGACCCTCTAAGGGATTTTTTTTTGTCATTTCCAAAGAGGTTGGAACCCCTATTTGGACAACTGTGCCTGTTTTAAACAATAAAATTATCATCTTATGTTAATAACTGTTCATAAAAACACGCATAATAATCACAACAGGTCAATTTCTTCTTTTTATCTCGTTTAAAAATTTAAATAATAAATATCTATGTTTTTTAAAACATATCTACCATGTTATTAAATATTCTGTTTTTATAAATTTTTATTGTTTAATTTCTATATTGCTCAATGAGCATCATTATTTTTATAACAATTTCTTTTGCATTTTTCTTCCTTGTTTATTTTTGGGAATGTAATCTTAGAACAGCAATATCTCAAAATCCACAGGGTTAAACACTCAAATTTTTACGAGTGTTATACTTTAAATCGGTTCCTGAAGCAGGATCTACAGAAATTAAAAAAAAAAAAAACTTTGTATAACTCTGTTGACTTTCAGTTGACAAATTATTGATTACTCACAAGTTACCAACCATCATGAAACAACATAAAAATATAAAATATTTCTGTTTCAGGCACTTTATGAATGTTTTGTCCCAATTGATCAAATTTTTAGCTGATAGCATGAGTATTTTTTCAAGTTGTTTTACATAACTCATTTTATGTGTATTTTTATGCTGACTCATGCAGATTAAAATTGTTTTTTTTTTATTAAAGTTGTTTTTTTTTTTTTTACTGTTTTCTTTGTTGTTAATATTATAGTTTAAAAATATCAAAATCAAGAATAGAGACCATAAAATACGCAACGCTAAACTTAAAAAATAGAAGTAGGAGATCATTTGCTTTTTGCGCGGCGATTTTCAATGGATTCAAAGGGCTACTTTAATTTTTGGTTTAATTAAAGACTTTGAGAGGGAAAACTTTATCTTTTTTGTTATGTCTATTAGTTTAATTAAGAATAACTTATAGACGATCCCATAATAAATATAATAGGACCA